TTTGTAGTACATTTATAAACAAAAAAAAGAAAAGAAAAAACATAAGATTATCATTTCAAATGAAACAAACAGAAGAATGTACCTAAAAATGCAACAAAAAAATAAAATTATACATAAAATCTATATTTATAAAGATAAAACCACATTAAATAAAAATAAAATTTGGCTCAATCTTTGCTTAAAAAAGTAGTTTTTAAGTAGTTTTTTACCTAGATAAAACCACATTAAATAAAATCAAAATTTGGCTCAAAAGTAAGAAAGACTTAGAGCCTGTTTGGATTAGCTTAAAAAAGTAGTTTTTAAGTAAAAAATAAAAAGTAAGGGGAGATCTACTTTTGGTTTTTGACTTATTTTAAGTCATTTTTACCTTGCCAAACAGTTCGTAACTTATTTTAAGTTATTTTTTATATTTGCCAAACACTTTCAGAAGTCAAAAACTGACTTAAAAGTAGGTTGGTCAACTTTTAAGCCAATCCAAATGGGCTCTTAGACTAAGTCAACGCATACAATTCCTATTTACCAAAAAGTAAGAAGACTTGAAAGGTTCCAAAAATTGCACAATTGATTTCTACCAAACATTTTGTCCACATCAACTCCTGTCAATTTAAAGATATCCAACAGTAAAATTTTATCAACTTTTTTTTTTTTAATTCTTTTTAACAAATTTATGCTACTAGATAGTGAATGTAGTGTTTTTTATTAATGTGAAAAAGGACAAATATACCTCCAAATTATCATAAATGGTATGTATATACCCTCCGTCATATTTTTGGAACATTGGTGCCCCTACCATCCAAAAACTAGAGCATATATGCCCTTCATAAAAAAGAATCAAGTTGGATGAATACACCTGGTAGAAATATTAAAAGACATATGTATCTTTATAGATGAGATTTGTATGTATTATTATTATTTTAGTGGCACCTCTTCAAATTATTTACTTCAATATTAAATAATAGTCTGTTTAGAAGGAAAAATATAGCTATTTTAGAAGAAAAAATTCGATTACACTATTTTATCAATCATAACTTTTTAAATTCTTCCGTTATGAGATTCATGATAATGATTAAAAGCAATATTAATGTACTCATTTATCAAGAAAATAATAATTTAATTATTAAAGGACTTCAAATTCTACTACTATGTAGGATAAAATATTAGTATTTGATAAGATATTTAATTTAGTAAAGAGACAATATGGTAATCCAGTTTTTCACTTTGAAACTTACCACTTTTAATAATATATGATGATATGATAATAAAATAAAAATCCTTATTGTGAATAAGTCCAAGCAAAGGGGCTAGGCTAACGAAAATAAGTGGTAAAGAAAACTAAGTATTCTATGATCATCACAAAGTTTATAATGCACCCTATAAGATGATATTACAAACGAAGATGCTTAAATAATGAAAAAAACATAAACACCAAGAAGAAGGTTGAGTTATCTTACCTCAAACATCCTTATTATATACCGTGGCGGAGCCAGAATTTTCAATAAGGCGGTTCAAAATTTAAAAAAATAGACACATGAAATAGCCGAATGGAGTTCGACATGTACTATATATACCTAAAAATTATTTTAACCATATATAAATAATATAATTTCTGCCGAAGATGAAACCCTAACTATAAGGTGGCTCCGCCCCTTATAATATGTATGAATCAAAAAAGATAGTTTATCCGTCTCAAAAGACGTGTACAATATTTTCTCAAAATTGTCAGGACTGAATAATTTCTAAAGTCTCCTATGTAACGCGTCTTTTACTTAATTGCCATGAATTGACTTGTCCTACAGTAGCTCAAGTCTTTGGATCCTTCCAAGTTGTTATTATAAACTGAATTGTGTATCAATTTTGTGACAATCAAAGTAAAAAAAAAAAAAGAGAAGAAAAGCTAAAATCTATGGCTGCTTTGCTATGGTTATTAATATTATCTGCATTTCATGCAGTAGCACTAGCACAACAAAGGCAGTTCAATATAACTCTTGGCTCTTCTCTAACACCTACTACCAATTCATCATGGTTTTCGCCGTCCAGGCGCTTTGCCTTTGGGTTTTATGAACAAAACAATGGCTATGCTGTTGGAATCGTAATTGTCGGTATGCCTAAGAAGACAGCAGTGTGGACAGCAAATAGGAACAGTCCTGTTGTTCCGAGCAACGCTGTCTTGCTCTTAACTAGTGATGGAAGGCTCATTGTACAAGTAGGAGGCCAAGAAATCACTGTCGTAAATCTCTCTGGTCAAGTCATTGCTTCAGCTTCCATGCTGGATACTGGCAACTTTGTGCTCTATAATTCTGATCACAGTATAATATGGCAAAGTTTTGACAATCCAACAAACACACTTTTACCTGGTCAGCATATATCAGCTGGACAAGAGCTGTTCTCGAGTGCCTCGGAAGCAGATGATTCTTTCGGGATTTTCCGTCTCAAAATGCAAGATGATGGGTACCTTGTTCAGTATCCTGTCAATACACCAGATACTGCCCCATATGCTTACTACGCATCCTACATCCGTGGAGTAAGGAATAATTTTTCACTGAATCTTGATGATGACGGCCTCCTCTACTTGCTCAATTCCAACAATAGTCTAAAAAATCTAACCAGAGGAGGCTACCGTAGAGAAAGGACCATCATCTATATGATGAAAATTGATGCTGATGGTATTTTTCGAGTTTATTCACATTCTCTGAACCAACAGAACAGCTCCGTGATATGGCCATCAACAGATGATAGGTGTGATCCAAAAGGCCTTTGTGGGCTCAATGGTTTTTGCACCAATATAGATGTTCAAGCTAAATGTATGTGTCTTCCGGGATTTGACTTTGTAATGCCAGGAAATTGGAGCGCAGGCTGTGAAAGGAATTTCCCCACAGAAACCTGTCAGTTAAAGGAGAACACTTCCAAATACTATGACATGAGAACAGTTGAAAACACAGTATGGGAAGATAGTACTTATGTTGTTTTGGCCGGAACGACCAAGGAAGATTGTGAACAAGCCTGTCTACAGGATTGTAACTGTGAGGCTGCTCTGTTCAAAGACAGAGAATGTAGAAAGCAAAAGCTGCCTCTGAGGTATGGAAGGAGAGACTTGGGTAATTCTAATCTAGTATTGGTCAAGGTGGGCACTAGTTTCATATCCAAAGAAGGGGTGCCTAATCAGACGATTGAAGAAACAAAAGGCAAAAAGCTAAGGATAGACATCCTAATTGCCGCCATTACATTGGCTGTTTTTGCTTTGTTGGTGTTAGGCATCTCCGGATTCCTCATTCACAGAAATCATGTCTGGACTTACAGAAAAATCCAGGAGAGTAGAAGTGTTCAGTTATGTGAGGATGTTGCTCCACGAGCATTTTCCTATGCAGAACTAGAGCAGGCAACCAGTGGTTTCAAAGAAGCGTTAGGGAGGGGAGCATTTGGAACAGTATTTGCAGGAATTTTGGCAGAAGACCAGAAAGTGATAGCTGTTAAGAGACTAGACAAAGAATTAGTAGAAGGGGAAACAGAGTTCCAAACTGAAATAAAAATCATTGGAAAGACACATCACCGAAATCTAGTCCGCCTCCTTGGTTATTGCCTGGACGGATCAAGAAGGCTTTTGGTGTATGAGTACATGACCAATGGGTCACTTGCGGACGCACTTTTTACACCAGAAAAACAGCCAACGTGGGAGGAAAGGTGTGGCTTCGCTCGAGATATTGCAAGGGGCCTCCTATATTTGCATGACGAGTGTGAAACACAAATCATCCATTGTGATATTAAGCCTCAGAACATACTCATGAATGATCAGTTCTGTGCAAAAATATGTGACTTTGGAATGGCCAAGCTCTTAAAGAAAGACCAAACAAGAACCTACACAGGGATAAGAGGGACCAGAGGCTATGTTGCACCAGAATGGCACCGAAATCTGCCAGTGACAGTGAAAGCAGACGTTTACAGTTTTGGTGTCGTCCTATTGGAATTGATCTGTAGGCGGAAGTGTGTAGATTGGAGCCTTGATGAAAATGAGGCAATTCTTGAATACTGGGTCTACAATTGCTTTGATGCAGGAGAGCTAGATAAACTAGTAGGGGACGAGGAGGTTGATAGAAGACAATTCGAGAGAATGGTGAAAATAAGCATCTGGTGCATTCAAGAGGAACCATCACTTCGCCCTTCAATGAAGAAAGTTCTACTGATGCTGGAAGGGACAGTAGAAATTCCAGTGCCTCCTAGTCCTACTTCTTTTTTAAGTGCCATATAATTTTGAACTTCTTCACTTTATGGTTTTTGTACTTCAAGTTTCAAGTATTCCAACTTCCCCATAGAGAGCAGAGTACTTTATCATCCATACTTGAGCTAAATAAAATATAGTTCTATCAAATTTCTACATCATTCTATGCCTCTTGTAGCCACCAGTTAACAGAACTACATGGATTTATCTTCTGCTGCTGTGAACAAAGGCTTATGTTCCCATTTTGAGTGTTGTCCATATTAGCACTGCTCTTCAAATTTACGTGTAGTACAATGAAACTATATTTTGTAAATACTAGAAGAGACTTACGGGTTTCTCCATGTGGAAGCAAATGAACTCCTTTTGTCTATAGTCTAGATAACCTTTACAGATGGAGAGAGTGTTCTCTTCTGGCCCTTCTTTAAAAAAATAACTGTTGGAAGCAATTTAGTGAACCGATTAAAATAAGGTGCTTAAGTCCACCTTTAAATAAAAGAAACATATTACAAAATAAATAAGACTGCGTAGATCAAGGGTAGAACTCATCACTATTAACGGAATTTTACCAAACCACCACCATAATACTGATTTTTTGCCAAAAGAACTATTGGGTTCTCAAACTGTCAAACATGCCTTCTTTTTTCCCTGTACCTGCATAGCAGGGTGTGTTTGTGAGTGCGTGCATGCGTGCGTGTTGAGTTAACAATGAATCTGGAGGAGTGAGGATCACCAACACATTTATCAGCTAATATTTATTTATTTAGTTTGCAGCAAAAACAACAGAATATAACACATTGCGAGGTCTCTAACAGAGATAAAACTATAACAAAAACACTAGAAGTCTTGAAATAAAACAAAGCAAACATTGATACAGCCATCAAGAAATCAGCATTAGAACGCATGAAGTTCAGAAGTTTCCACCACGGAGCCTGAGGACAAGATGAAGAGTAGACTCTTTCTGGATATTGTAGTCTGCAAGGGTGCGGCCATCCTCCAGCTGTTTGCCAGCAAAGATGAGCCTCTGTTGATCTGGTGGAATCCCTTCCTTGTCCTGTATCTTTGCTTTCACATTGTCAATAGTGTCAGAGCTCTCCACCTCCAATGTGATTGTCTTCCCAGTCAGAGTCTTCACAAAGATCTGCATCCCTCCTCTCAAACGCAACACCAAATGGAGAGTTGACTCCTTCTGGATGTTATAGTCTGCTAGAGTCCTCCCGTCCTCAAGTTGTTTACCAGCAAAGATCAAACGCTGCTGGTCTGGGGGAATACCCTCCTTGTCTTGAATCTTTGCTTTGACGTTGTCAATGGTATCTGAACTCTCAACCTCCAATGTAATTGTCTTCCCAGTCAAAGTCTTGACAAAAATTTGCATGCCACCTCTAAGGCGAAGAACAAGGTGCAGGGTTGATTCTTTCTGAATGTTGTAATCTGCCAAGGTCCTTCCATCCTCAAGTTGCTTTCCAGCAAAGATCAATCTCTGCTGGTCTGGGGGAATACCCTCCTTGTCTTGAATCTTTGCTTTGACGTTGTCAATGGTATCTGAACTCTCAACCTCCAAAGTAATTGTCTTCCCCGTCAAAGTCTTGACAAAAATTTGCATGCCACCTCTAAGGCGAAGAACAAGGTGCAGGGTTGATTCTTTCTGAATGTTGTAATCCGCCAAGGTCCTTCCATCCTCAAGTTGCTTTCCAGCAAAGATCAATCTCTGCTGGTCTGGAGGAATACCCTCCTTGTCTTGGATCTTTGCTTTAACATTGTCGATAGTATCTGAACTCTCAACCTCCAAAGTAATTGTCTTCCCTGTCAATGTCTTAACAAATATTTGCATGCCACCCCTCAGACGAAGAACAAGATGTAAGGTAGACTCTTTCTGAATATTGTAGTCAGCCAGGGTCCTTCCATCCTCAAGTTGCTTGCCGGCAAAGATCAGTCTCTGCTGGTCTGGAGGAATCCCTTCCTTATCCTGAATTTTGGCCTTCACGTTGTCAATTGTATCTGAACTTTCAACTTCAAGGGTGATGGTCTTTCCAGTAAGTGTCTTGACAAAGATCTGCATACCACCACGAAGGCGAAGGACAAGGTGAAGAGTGGACTCCTTTTGGATGTTGTAATCAGCAAGTGTTCGGCCATCTTCAAGCTGTTTCCCAGCAAAGATCAGCCTCTGCTGGTCTGGGGGAATACCTTCCTTGTCTTGAATTTTAGCTTTGACATTATCAATGGTGTCTGAGCTCTCGACCTCAAGAGTTATAGTCTTTCCGGTCAGAGTTTTAACAAAGATTTGCATTCCACCACGTAGACGGAGGACAAGATGGAGGGTAGACTCTTTTTGGATATTGTAATCAGCAAGTGTTCGGCCATCTTCAAGCTGTTTCCCAGCAAAGATCAGCCTCTGTTGATCTGGAGGAATGCCTTCCTTGTCTTGAATCTTAGCTTTGACATTATCAATGGTGTCAGAACTCTCGACCTCAAGAGTGATGGTCTTTCCGGTGAGTGTCTTAACAAAGATCTGCATCTGAAATATATTGAAGCAGACAACTGTCAAAAACTTCTATTCAAGATCAGGCAGAGATGACAAACTAGCAAGCTTTGGAAGTCCAAAAAGAAAATAAAATAAAATAAAGGTTCTGCAATTTCCCTCCTACAGCAGCGAACTACCACATAATATGAACACCCATAGCATAGCTTGCACACAAATCCTAGAACTTGTTTAATTTGGAACAAGACATCCCACGAAACAATTGAAGTTAAAATTGAATATATCAAACCAGAGGCAAATTAGGGGAGTATAAGAAAAGAATCCCAATTGATTAGAAACCATACAAAGAGCAAAAGCAACATATCCAAAGTCAACTAATTACACTAATCAGAGAGCCACCAGAAGACCAGTCAACCAAACAAAGAAGAAAATAAATAGATCTAACATCAACCGAATTTAAAAGAATTATCAGAATTTCAGATTTTCTTTAATAAAAATTCAATCCAATGAACAACCATTTTTACAAACAAATCAGTAGGCCCCTAGACGCATCCATCCAATTCTACATAGAACGAACTATACTTTTCATTTAAGAGGGATGCAAACCCACAGTTGGGTGTATTGTAAATCAAATCAAGTTCACGATCTAGCATAATCAGAAGAGAATAAAAATGTGCCCACACAAGAATAAATACATTAAAAAACAGATCAGTAAGAGTTAACAAAAAAATGGAAGACTCTTAAAATTTATTTAAATCTAGTTCAATTTGTTCGCAAAAACCCTAGACAAGACACAATTAATTAAACCTAGAAACTTCAACAATTTCATTAAATAGAGACCAGAAATGAAGCAAATCGACAAAATTCAAGGCTATAAATCATCAGCAGCAAAAGCATGCATCATCCATTTAACCTAGTTTTGTAATTTTGATCACAAAAATCCCTAGATAGCACACAAATAATCAAACCTGGAAACTTGAACAATTTCAATCAAATAGAAAACAGAAAAATGGAACAACACGAGAATATTCAAGACTATAACATCAACAAAAAAAAAAAATAAAGCATATATTATTCATTAAAGATAGTTTTTTTTTTCAAATTGATTAATTTTGATCATAAATATCCCTACACAGGACACAATTAACCAAACCTGGAAACTTGAACAATTTCTATTAAACAGTGACCAAAAAATCAAGCAAATCAACGAAATTCAAGGCTATAACATCATCAACAGAAAAGGCAAGCATCACCATTTCAAATTGATTAATTGTGATCGCAAAAAACCCTAGATAGGACACAAAACTAATCAAACTACGAAACTTCAACAATTCTACCATATGGAAACCAAAACTCGAGCAAATCAAACGAAATTAAACGCTATAACATCATCAACAGAAAAAACATACATCATCCATTATAAAAAGTTCTCAAATCAACTAATTACGTGGAGATCTGATGATAAACAAGAAAACAAAGGTAAATTCCGTTCATATAATACTGTTCATACATTTATAATACAAAACCCTCCATAAATCTAAATCTATTCAACAAACGATTGAATCGAGAGAAGAAAAGACCATTACCTTGAGAAGAAGAAACAGTGCGCAAGGAGATTATCGAGAGAACGAGAGGAGGAGGAGATGCTTTTTTCCGAGAGAAGTTGCGCTAGAGAAGAAGGATGATTTGGGGATTAGGTTGAAAAGGGGGAGATCTGTATTTATAGCAACCGCTTTGCCGTCACAGAGAGGGAACGTATGGGCCTATAGCTCAGCGCTTACGCAATTTCTTCGGATATTTTGGAAGACACGGTTACGCAATTAATTAGTAGAGCCTTTTACTAGATGCTTCTCCTCTTTTTTCCTTTTTCAAATTCATGGCACGTATAATTTTAAAAAATATTTTTTAAAATTTTGATAGTAAATTTGACTATAATTTCTAAAAATAAAATTTATATAATTTGAGTGAAAAAGAATGGATACATCTCTTTATTATTTTTTATTGTTTAAATTTTTTTCCGTTATATTATTTGGTTATATGAATCCTTATTATCGTCCAAAATTTTATGTATATTCCTAACTTAACGGGTTTTGACATGCACACCCTAAGATCTCATTGGAGGAGTCACCAATAAAGGGAGCTCTTTAAGCTTTCTCTTTCCATTGGACCAGGTCAAGGTTGTTGTAAGCAGTTTCGATCTCAAGCACTGCGGGTAAGTGCCCAAGAAATTTCATACTAGCTACTTTGCAAACTCAAAAAGTTGGTGAGACTCGTCATTCTCCGCTTGCAAGTCAAGCTTTTCAAAAGAATCTTTCAAGATGTTTTGATGATTCTAATCAGAGCCAACAAGCAGGTCGAGCTGATGTAGACGGGAATTTGAACGCTTTTGGATCGGAGGGTCGGCTTTTTGACGGGCCAGCCCTTTTTTATGCGTCGCTTTCTCCTGATAGGAAAATGAGCTTTTATTGAGTTGGAGGTACTTTGACTAACTGAATCCATCATAAACCTAGACTATGGTAACCTTTGTAACAAAAGGTCTTCCTAGTGGGCTCGTCGCCACTAAGCAGTCATCTTTGATCATAATCGGTCGACCTTTCCGATCCCGAAATAAAGAGAGTTCGGTTGCTCGATTAAGGATTTAAATAGCCCAGAGTGCGGAGGTTGTTCTCATCATTGAAGTTAGGGTGTGGGACTAGGTATTCCGAATGAGAAAGGACATGACTTACATTCACAAACGATAGTTGTTTATAAAGGGTATTTTGGTTTGACACTGTTTCACACCCCCAAAAAAATAAAGAAGCTACGTCTGAGTTAAACTTAGAGATGGAAGTTTTCTTTCTTTTCTCAACGATGAAGTAAGACCAAGCTTATGAGCTTATTATCCTAGGTCGAAACAAGTTGATAGGAGCTAACATTTTCTATTGGAATAGAGGGATGTGCAGAGTCAATCAAGCCTTTGAAACTAGTGAAAATAATCATCACAGTCAGAGCTCCTAGTTTCAATGAGACTTTCTTAGATTGTCAAACTTTCTCTCCTACACCAAGAGAGTTATTTGGTAAGCAAGATCTTTGATTGATGTGCCTGAATAAGGTTGATCAATGATAGCTTCTTTGGAGCTAAGGGCATTCCATCCCGCATAAACATCTGTATTTGTATTTGAGGAAAGACCGAATAAGTATTAAAATATAATACCGTTAATCTAAGATTCAATGTTTTAAATAAATTTTGAAAATATTATATTGATGTCCCCTCAAATTTTCTCAAAATTTCAATTATATGCTTAAACTTTGTCTAATAACTATATTACTCTCTTTATTTAGGTTCAAATTGAGTTTATTACTAGCGTGACTATCATTTCTTTTCATATTGCTTAAAACACTTAGGGGTCGTTTGGTAGAGTGTATAAGAATAATGCTGAATATGATGTATTAGTAATGCATGCATTAGTAATGCTTGCATTAGTAATGCTTGCATTAGTTTATGCTTGCATTAGTTATGCTTGAATTTATTTCTTATACATTGTTTGATTTGATGTATTGGAAATAGCAAGCCTTGTATAAAGACTAATTAAAAAATATTTGTTTACAAAATACCCCACATTCTTTTACAAAATAATAATAATATTAATAATAGTAATAATAATAATAATTATTATTATTATTACTATTATTATAATTATAATTATAATTGTGTATTATTTCTACTTTATTGTGTAGAGGGTAGTTTTGTCATTAGTTAATCTAATGCATGCATTAAAACCATTGCATTGCTAATACCTAGAAATCCACGGTATTAGCAATACACACCTTAATACACAATAGAGTGTATAACTAATGCAAGCATTAGTTATACATAGGTTGGAAAAGAGTACCAAACAAGGTACTAGTAATACACAATGCTAATGCATGCGTTATTTTTCCTAATACACTCTACCAAACGACCCCTTAAGTGTTGCGAATATTTAAAAGGAAAAAAAAGTATGAGTCACCTGACATCTTTTTCCTTTTCTTTAAAATTATACTAAAGTTTTGATTAATTAATAATATGAATGTAACAACAAAAATAATTCTATTGAAAAAAATACTGAAATAATATCTCCAAAAAGAATTAGTCTTCACTAGTGTCATTATTAGAAAAAACAAACAAGAGAAAAGTTTTATATTCATAGATCTTTTGAATTTTGTAAGATGACTACACAAACTTCTCTAGAAAGTCCCAAACACATCCTCAACAATAACTATTCCAAAAATTAAAAAATCTGCAAATTACATTTAAAAGAAAATTTCCTAAAAGTTGCTATCAAATGGTCTCTAACAAATTATTCTCCAACTTATATAACTTATTAATTATATATAATTTCCTTTTCAATTTTGATATTTTTTATTTGACAAATATTGAATGATAATATCAATATCAGCATTTTATTCCTATTAAGTCTCAATTTATTGATAAAAAATTAAAAAAAATACTTTTAAGGCTTATATTAATTACTATATTTATCAAACTATGTCACCTAAAATAAAATGGATGGAAATGTCGATACAAGAACTGACGAGGAGCTTCGACGAAATATTGGCTCTTAATATTATTTCCCAACGAAAAAACACACAGAGAATATACAAATGGAAGCTGATCATCCAACGATCGGAGAGTACACGCTGACGTGTAAGCTCGGTGGCGGCTCATCGTCGACGGTATGGAAAGCCGAGCACCGGACCACCGGAAAAGTGGTGGCGCTGAAGCAAATCGACCTCCTCAAGCTCACTCGCCAACTCAAGAATTGCTTGGACTGTGAACTCAACTTCTTATCTTCTGTTGAACACCCAAATATCATTCGCCTTTTCGATGTATTTCAGGTTAGTGGTGTCTCTCTCTTTAATATCAACAAAATTATACAATTGCTTTACCTAGGTGTCCGGGCTACTTGCTACCTCCCACTGCACAAGGCTAGGACATATAGGCAGCAAACACCTAGTGTTTTTTGTGTGCTTTTCTTTTGTCAGCTATAGTCCAAAGGTTTAGAAGTTTATAGGTCTATCCTTTTCTGCAATTATGCAATTTTTTCCCCAAAGGATACGCAGTTCTTGTGTGATGAAATGAAAACTAACTGCATTAGGGGTTTATATTTCAATTCTCATCGTGTCCCAAATGTGTGATTTGTTTAGGTTAAATCAGTGTTCTGTAATTGGAATAAGTGTGTGGTTTGTTAAATGGAACCAGCGTGTAGTTAGTGGATAAACTATTCACGAGCGAAATCACCAACTTTGATTTAGTAAAAGGTGACTTTGATCAGTTATCTAGAAGCTTCTTATCAAAATTATCAATGTCTCTGCAGCTTATCAAAAATGAAACAAAAAAAAATAATCAGAATATGTTCAGAAATTCCCAAAATCGAACAGATTGACAAATGCATGATGCATCTTGTTCAAACTTTAGATGTTGTTGTGAAAAGAATTCAAGTATCCAACACAAATAGGCAATGGGCGGAGTAGTCCAGGACATTATAAACGCCTTTGGAAGCCCTTACACAATTAATGAGTAAAACCTGGTGCTTGGGCCTACACGGGGATTACATATTTTCATCTTTTGTTTTTTGGAGAAGTTTGAAGATTGGACCTGCTAGAGAGAGATCAAGCTCAACAGGCCAAATAGTGGTCTTGGATCTGAGAAGCTTGGAGAAAAGTTTGCGGCTCAATGGGCTGAATTGAGAGAGAAGAAACACAGAGAGGCTCGGTGGGATGAGTCGAGAGAAAAGCACATGTTCTTGGGTTTTATGCGTGGATTGATTTTTTTTATTGTCTCTTTTCTTGGAGAAGATTGGAGTGGACCTGCTTGAAAGAGAGAAGTGATCAAGCTCAACAGGCTGAGGAGTGGGCTTGAAACTGAGAGGAGAGTAGACTCTCCGGGCTAAGGAGTGGGCCTGAAGTGAAGTTTGTGGCTCGATATGCTGAATTGGGAGCGATGCACAGAGAGACTCGATGTGCTGAGTTGAGGAAGCCTAGATCATTATGGTAGGTAGAGAGAAGAAGTTGTGCCAAATAAACTTACCAAAGTTTGGCTTTGCTACCATTTGAAAAGAATATGAGCATCTAACACAGAACCTTAAGGCAATAGGTGGAGTAGCCCAGAACATTATAAACTCCTTCGAAAACTCGTACACAGCCCATAATGGACAAGTGCATTCTCTAATCGAATGCAAGTAGAAATAGACTAGCTGGCATGCCAGTGCCAAAGTGCCAGTTATAAGTAGGTTTTCATTCTATCTTTGGGTTATTGGTAGTGTGTGTGCCTGATTTCTCTGTACATGTTTGGCTTGAAGTTTCTATGCAGAGAGCTGAATTAGCAGATTAATAATTCAAAGTGTTTGTTTCTCATGTTTAGACTGTTCTCTTTATGTGTAGGCTATTGCTCTCGCATTTCAGTATGAAGGTACATATGTTACAGTACCGAGAGTCCTTGCTATGCTTATTTCTTTTAGCTATGTAGCTGTCCTTCTTGAAGGTTGCCTTGTTTTAAATTAAATCCAGTAGCTACTTGAGTTCAGATCTTGCAAAGTTTCACTAATTAGGAGATTGTGTAGTTTTATGTAGTAACTGGTGTCTTAAAAAAGGAACTAGATTTTCTTCAAATCTTAGGTGATCCTTTTGTCTTGGGGAAATTTTTGCATTCCTTTTGTAATATTAAAATAGTCTTGATTATTGGTCTTTCTCTTGCCTAAAGAAACTTGAGAGTTGTATGAGCGCATCTTTTCACAATGTTTTTCTTTGACAAGTCAAAAATTTCATTTGTAAATACCAAATAGTGTCAATAGTATGTACAAGTTGTTTATACCGTGTAACCACCCACAGTCATTTTGGAAGTTTGTCTTGCTCTCTATACAACATTGTTTTCTTTCTTTGCACAAGAAATACAAGTTCGTTTAGCAAATGTTAACCCTTTTGCACTACTGGATTCTGTTGGAGCAACGGTAACCTACTTTTTCCTCTTCATTGTGGAGCTTATATTTTTCCATTAACAAATGGAGGATGAAAGTTGTCCCAGCCAACAGTCTGGGACTCTAGGTAGGATAAATTAAGTAGGCATTTGGCTATGCGATATCATATCACGATATGAAATCATAAGATGAAATAGTATTTGGACATGCAATTTCACGCTGGTATCATGAGATGAAATCCCTTCTCTAAAAATTATGATTGGGGAATTCCATATCATGATTTAGGATTTTTCAAATACAAAAATTGATCCACAAGATTATATTTTGTTAAAACAACCCCACATTTATATCTACTAACTATTTATTTCATATGTAAATAAAATTTATAATCATATCATTACTTTTCAAAATTCGTTATTCTCACCAACATAAAATTTATCATTACTTTTAATTTGACGAATATAAATGATATAATAGAAATTGATTTGGTGTATATTTTATATCTACTAACCATTTATTTCATATGTAAATAAAATTTATAATCATATCATTACTTTTCAAAATTCGTTATTCTCACCAACATAAAATTTATCATTACTTTTAATTTGACGAATATAAATGATATAATAGAAATTGATTTGGTGTATATAAATTAGAATGGAGGGAGTAATATTTTTTTTTGGTTTTTCATAATAAAAAAACTTCTCTTTCAGCTACATATGAAAAAGTTCAAAGCAATTTAATATGAAAAAGGACAAAATTGGTGATGTATGTTTGCTAAGCACTACTTTTAATATGTTTGATTTTAGCACAAAATTAATGCACTGAAAATGTGTAATTGCCAAAAGTGCCATTAATTGAAAAATATTTTTATTAGCTGCTAACAACTTCAACATTTATTTCACAATTGACAATCATAAAATATACTAGCCACTTTATCATTACTCACACCAAAGATTATTGTATTTTCTGAATCATAGAGAGTGTACTTTCTTAAACATAGATTATTATTTGAAAGAGTTTGGAACTCATGTTCGAGTCCAAAATGGAAGGTAGTGCCTTGATACTGTTACTCGTACTCCGCCATTTATTCTGAGACGGTGGAAGTAAGTTTTTTCTTACAATTGAACCATATACATGTACACATAATCACCTCTCTTCAGAGGACAGAAGAAGCCAAATGAAGATGACCTTCTCAACAAAATAATCATAGTTAGAATAGGAAGAGTTAGATGAAATAGACTTTTACTACTTTTTACAGTGCTACAAAACTTTTTTCTTAACTTAAGTGGAGAACAAATAGCTTTGTAATAATTTATTATGCAATTTTATAATTTTTTGTTTATTTGGTAAGATTGAATAAATAATTGGGGCTATGTTAATAGTTTTGCAACTTATGAGATTCTTATGTTTATGAGAAAAAGTTCACATCGCATGTTCAAACAAAACTTCAACTTCATCTCATGATTTCATATTATGATTTTATATCATGATTTCATATCGCTTGGCCAAACAGGCCCTAAGAATAGCCTCATTTAAATTTCATCTCAGGCCAACATTATACAAAATAGGGAAAATGGCCTGATATACCCCTCAACTTTGCTATTTAGAGCTGATATACCCATCGTTATGGAAGTAGCTCATAAATATCCTTACTGTTATACAAATGACTCACATATACTGATGCTCTATTGAACAATTGTCGCACTTTATAATTCTGACGAATTGAGCATGTAAGATCAAATATTGATACTGGGGAGCAAGGGTTAACTGCTAAGAAGCAAGAAAATTCACTAGAGATTCCTGCAAACTCATTGGCTTAATTTGTCGGAATTATGTTTCTTTTCTTCCTTTCGTTTTTCCTTCTACTTTTCAAAGAAAAGATAAACGAATTATGTATCTTTACAATCTTATAATGAGCAATAGTGGTTGGCTAATATTTTGTGGAAAAAAAAAGAGATAAACCCAGTCTAAAAGTGGTGGTATCACTCCACTTCTCTTTTGAATTTTTTTTTATAAAAAAGATAAGGTTTCTGAAAGTCACCCATTACTTGAAGGTGCTAGTAGGAAAGTAGAAAAGTTATTTGGGTGCATAATATCTAAGCAAAATTTACCAGGAGGAAAGACTTTAATCTTTCCTACTTTCGATTGTGTATGACATTCTACTCCGAGCATGTGATTAAGCAGTAAAATATATTATCCTAGCTTTTGGTTGGACGGCAATTTAGTACTTCATAGTTTATGCACTAGATACTGCAAAAGTTGTGACCCTATAAAATTTATTCTCTGGGTTTTGGAGGTGTGGTTTTGAAGTTCTTGTTGACATGCATCAGTGCATGGCTTGTTTATGTTTGACTTGCAAAGGTTGATTAATTAGGAAGAAGATTTAGTGCAAAAATATAATCATTGTATGATTTCTTAATTTGAGAAAACTGCTTTATCCCTTAGGCTGAAAACTCTATTTTCCTTGTCTTGGAGTTTTGTGCTGGAGGGGATCTGGCTGCTTATATTCGGGATCATGGCAGAGTTCAAGAATGCGTAGCTAGAAAATTTATGAAACAGATTGGTAACTTTTTGTTTAGAGCTCTTCGTCACTATTTCTTTTCTTATCATGTTGTCCTTGCTCAATTCTTGTACAATTGATGCCATTCTGGTTGCGATATAGTAGGAGCTGGCCTAGAGGTACTGAGCATGCACCATATCCTCCACCGTGACTTGAAGCCAGAGGTATAAGTTTTTTTTTTCTTATGATGTTAAATTGAATACAATACACACATTCTAGATCTATAAAGTATGTTTAACTTCTTCCAGTAGAGGCCTTTATAGGTTTGGTCGTATGCAACAAAATCCAGGGACTGTTGCTAATGAAACATGGGTAATACTTGTGAACATCCATAAAATAAACAAACTTTAAACTACTAAAACTTTAAGGGGTCGTTTGGTAGAGTGTACAAGAATAGTACTGAATAGATGTGTTAGTAGTGCTGGGATTATTTCTTATCCACTGTTTGATTTGGTGTATTAAGGACAATTTTTGTCTTTAACCATTCTTCTTCATGTATTAATAACCTTTGTATGACTTATACCATGATTTGCTATGTATTAGTTATACACCCTATAATACTAAAAATCTTACCAAACAAAGGATTAAATAATATCATGGCTAATACATGTATTATTTTCTATAATACATCCTACCAAACGACCCCTTGAAATAGAAGTATACTCACTATTTTTCTCCCAAGCTATAATACATCTTTGATTTAATTTGCTATTGCACTATATCATTATGCAGTTTTGTTTTGCTTAGTTGCATGTGAAGGTGGGTAAAACCTGGTGCATCAACAATTTTTCCAAATGAACCAAGCTTCGTTTAGGTTGTTGAAATCTCTAGGTTTAGCTTCTTTTTTTCCCCTTCATTTTGCATAAATCAATTGTCTAAAATGCTGTTTTCTCCAACTAACATTTCATGCTCCTATTATTGTCTTGAGCTGATATCCCAATCCCTTTCGTTGGCTGAGGAGTTGAATGTGTATGATACAACTAGGTGTACTTCAGTTTTGGAATTTAGAACAAAAAAAAACTTAACTTAGGAAAAGGTTTTTGAAAGGGGAAATGAAGTTTGAGAAATAAAAGTAGGCCTAATTCTTGAGATATGGTGAAGAAGGGAATGAGGAAGCATGAAAATGCATAAAGTGGGAGAAATTGTGTCCCTTTCTAGGTGCTTCTTTTGCCATGAGAAGGAGGAAACAAACAATCATTTGTTCCTTCACTATAGAGTGACTGCCCAGATATGGTATATGTTTCAAAGCATTATTCAAGATCCTTGGGTGGTGCCTGAGCATACTGCTGACCTATTAAACTGTTGGATGAGAAGAGAGGGGAGTAAAACACAGAAAAAATGGTGGAATCTAGTTCCATCTTGCATATGGTGGTCAATTTGGAAGGAAAGAAACAATAGGTGCTTTAAGAAAATTACTAACCCAATGCAGAAAGTTAAAGAAAACTGCATTAATACTCTATATTTTTGGTGTAAAGAAGAGGGTATAGATGATGTAAATCAGTTAGTAGATTTCCTAGGCTATTTGTAATCATGACTACTTCGCCTTGGAATTTTTTTGTTTGGTTGCCAGCATACCCTCATTGCTGATGAATACAACTTTACCATTCTCAAAAAAAAAGAAAAGAAAAAATAGCAATAGATATCTATGAGAAGAAGTGAGTAAAGAGTCTCCTAACACTCAACCTACAAAAATTTAGTACAACAGCATAATAATCTACAAGTGGGCTACATAATTAAAAAAAAATGGTACTCTTTTTGTTTTTGGTTTAGCAAGTTTTTATTTGACGCTGCTTTATAAAAAAGTTTCTTCTTTTCATCAGTATTCTCTTCTTTTTCTTGTTGAATTTTGCTTATCTTTGAATACTTATGCTCAAAATACATGATGTTTATCTTCTTCTTTTTTTGCCTTTAATAATGTTCTAATTTAGTTCAGTTACCATTATAGAAAAAAAGTAGTAGTTCTAATTTAGGTCATTTATGGTTCAGAACATTCTTTTATCTACGATGGAGACTGACCCGATTCTTAAGATTGCTGATTTTGGTCTCTCAAGGTAAAGAAAAAAAAATGATACAAGTTACCTTTTCAAAAAAAAAAAAAAGGTAAAGAAAAATGATACTCTCTCTGTCCCAATTTATGTGACACATTTCGAATTTCGAGATTCAAACAAGTTTATCTTTGACCGTAATTTTTTCATATATCTTTTAAATATTTTCAATTATCAATTATTGGGACTTATAGTACTTTTAATGTAGTTTACAAATATATAAATTTCATTTTAAAAAATTTGAAGATTTCATGAGCAAATTCTCGGTCAAACTTAAACTGTTTGACTCTCGAAAAGCGAAATGTGTCACATAAATTGGGACAGAGGGAGTATGAATTATTAAACAGGGAATGTCAAATGCCTTGGCATCATTAACAATCTCTGTATCTTTTTATTCTTGGAACAGAATGTTAAATCCGAATGACCTTGCAGAAACAGTTTGTGGGTCCCCTTTTTACATGGCTCCAGAAATTCTAGAATTTAAAAAGTATGATGATAAGGTAAGAACTATTTACTGTACAACTATGTTACACAGATTGGACAAACTGACATGTATTCTCTTGAATAGGTTGATATGTGGAGTCTCGGTGCAATTTTTTTTGAACTACTTAATGGTTACCCTCCCTTTCGTGGTAGAACTAGTGTTCAGGTAATAGCATTTCTTTAATGCAAATTGCAAAGGCCCTTCCTCTGTTTGTTAGTTCACCGTCTTCAATTATATTTTTTTAAAAATAGATACTGCGGAATATCAAGGCATCTCTACGTCTTCCTTTCTTTGAGCCGATTCTTCCTCAGTTGCACCCGGGTTGTGTTGACTTGTGCTCAAGACTATTGTCTATTGATCCAGGTTTGCAGATTTCTGTACGCAATATCATTTGTATTGTCTTCCTACCTCATTAAAGTTTGATAAATCACCTTATATCTGCAGAGAAACGGATCTCTTTTAAAGAGTTTTGTCGACACGACTTTTTGAAGATAGACGAAGGGGGAGATAAGAGGTTCTGTTAGAGGTCAAAAACATCCGGATATCCCACTGAGCAGAAGTGCCCACCAGTTTAATCATCAATGTACAAATTTGGATTCTGTTTTTCAGTTATCACCTTAGTGGGGTCAGCTCTTTTTTTCCTGCTGATTTACTCTAGGCTAGTCACCAGTCGATCAGTTCCGAATTCATGTAAAGGTGTCATTAGAAATCATCATCATCCCTTATGCTTCATATGTCTGTAAATTGTCATATACAACCTGATAACAACTGTACATCCTAGTTCTCTTTTCACCGATGATTCAGTCATTTTTTACCCTTCTAATAACTAGCTTCAGTAGCATTGACTCCTAAACTACTTGCACTCTCCTGCTTCAAGCCTTTCATCTTTAACCATCAGAATTGTAAGGACAGATAAATGGTTTTCTCCAAATTCTTCAAATCGATCATATCGAGCTGGAGGGATTTCTTCAGAACAACTAGTGTCGGTGTCATTTGTCTCCAAAACCATCTAGTAAGGTGAATTGTATGTATCTCTTCAATAATACCCGGGTTAACTGCCAACATTTTCCTATCAACAGTCACCCAATCGTCTCCTATCTCTTTCTTGTACTCAATCTGCGCGTTTATGAGATACTCTTTCCAAGTACATTTGATAAGTAGTCTCCAATGAAAGTATGAAACTTTCTAAATCTTCTATCACATTGTCGTACTGTTAAACTCTTGGGCGAACAAGTCCAGAAAATGTCATCAAAGTAAGTGGGACATGACAAATCTGATGAGTAGACATTATCAGATAATATCAAATTCTCGACTTCAGGTATGGGAAGATGATCAACTCCACTTGCTGCTCGAAACATTTAGTGATATGCTGGATTATGAAAGATGGAATACGCCATTTCAAGTCTACAGACAAATAATTCAACTCTATTAGAGATCTCCGTGAGTGTATGAACTGATCAACAATCCATAGACAAGAGACATAGTTTATGGAAATCCTGCATTGGCTTGAAACACTTACAAATGATAAAGACGGTAATCTATATGGAACAGAGAAAGCCAAGGAGAGTAACTTGGGCACATCAAAAATGGCTTGCACTAATTGACTGTACTCAGCTATGCTACATAGCTATCAGTTTTTTCTTGATTCAATTCTTTTGTTTGTCAACTCTTATTGATCTGTAGGGTGATCTTTTTTTGAATTTTTTTTATTTTTGCGTGGGCATTTTGTAATTCTTTTCCGATTATTCTGGATTGTGAACTTGATTTGATTTGCGATGTATCCAATTGTGGGTTTCTCTGCACATGCATCACTCTAAATGAAAAATATAGTTTGTTTTATGTAGATTTGGATGCTTCTAGGGGTTCATTGATTTGTTTGTAAAAATGTGCTGGTGCATTGGATTTTGAATTTTTATTAAAGAATTCTGAAATGAGATGATAGTTTTTTTTATTCGGTTGATGTTAGATCTATTAATCTTCTTCATTTGGTTGTTCTCGTCTTCTGGTGGCTCTCTGATAGTGTATTTACTTGACTTTGGATATGTTGCTTTTGCTTTTTCTATGGTTTCTAATCAATTAGGATTTTTTTATCTTATAATCTCCTAAGTTGCGTTTGGTTTGATATATTTGATTTTAGCTTCAATTTGTTTCTTGGGATGACCTGGTTCCGAATTAAACAAGTTCTAGGATTCGTGTGCAAGCTATGAGAGTTCATATTGTGTCGGTAGTTCGCTGCTGTAGGAGGAGAACTTGCAAAACGAATGATGTAGAAATTTGATAGAACTATATTTTATTTAGCTCAAGTATGGATGATAAAGTGGTCAGCTCTCTATGGGGAAGTTGGAATACTTGAAATTTGAAGTACAAAAACCATAAAGTGAAGAAGTTCAAAACTATATGGCACTTAAAAAAGAAGTAGGACTAGGAGGCACTGGAATTTCTACTGTCCCTTCCAGCATCAGTAGAACTTTCTTCATTGAAGGGCGAAGTGATGGTTCGTCTTGAATGCACCAGATGCTTATTTTCACCATTCTCTCGAATTGTCTTCTATCAACCTCCTCGTCCCCGACAAGTTTATCTAGCTCTCCTGCAGCAAAGCAATCGTAGACCCAGTATTCAAGAATTGACTCATTTTCATCAAGGCTCATATCAACACACTTCCGCCTACAGATCAATTCCAATAGGAGGACACCAAAACTGTAAACGTCTGCTTTCACTGTCACTGGCAGTTTCCGGTGCCATTCTGGTGCAACATAGCCTCTGGTCCCTCTTATCCCTGTGTAGGTTCTTGTTTGGTCTTTCTTTAAAAGCTTGGCCATTCCAAAGTCAGATATTTTTGCACAGTATTGATCATCCATGAGTATGTTCTGAGGCTTTATATCACAATGGATGATTTGTGTGTCACACTCGTCATGCAAATATAGGAGGCCCCTTGCAATATCTCGAGTGATGCCACACCTTTCCTCCCACGTGGGCTGTTTTTCTGTTGTGAAAAGTATGTCCGCAAGTGACCCATTGGTCATGTACTCATACACCAGGAGCCTTCTTGATCCCTCCAGGCAATAACCAAGGAGGTGGACGAGATTTCGGTGATGTGTCCTTCCAATGATTTTTATTTCAGTTTGGAACTCTGTTTCCCCTTCTACTAATTCTTTGTCTAGTCTTTTAACAGCTATCACTTTCTGGTCTTCTGCCAAAATTCCTTTAAATACTGTTCCAAATGCTCCCCTCCCTAACGCTTCTTTGAAACCACTTGTTGCCTGCTCTAGTTCTGCATAGGAAAATGCTCGTGGAGCAACATCCTCACATAACTGAACACTTCTACTCTCCTGGATTTTTCTGTAAGTCCAGACATGATTTCTGTGAATGAGGAATCCAGAGATGCCTAACACCAACAAAGCAAAAACAGCCAATGTAATGCCGGCAATTAGGATGTCTATCCTTAGCTTTTTGCCTTTTGTTTCTTCAATCATCTGATAAAGCACCCCTTCGTTGGGTATGAAATTAGTGCCCACCTTGACCAATACTAAATTAGAATTACCCAAGTCTCTCCTTCCATACCTCAGAGGCAGCCTTTGCTTTCTACACTCTCTGTCTTTGAACAGAGCAGCCTCACAGTTACAATCCTGTAGACAGGCTTGTTCACAATCTTCCTTGGTCGTTCCGGCCAAAACAACATAAGTACTATCTTCCCATCCTGTGTTTTCAACTGTTCTCATAGCATAGTATTTGGAAGTGCTCTCCTTTAACCGACAGGTTTCTGCGGTGAAATTCCTTTCACAGCCTGCGCTCCAATTTCCTGGCATTACAAAATCAAATCCCGGAAGACACAAACATTTAGCTTGGTCATCTATGTTGGTGCAAAAACCATTAAGCCCACAAAGGCCTTTTGGATTACACCTATCATTTGTTGATGACCATATCACGGAGCTGTTCTGTTGGTTCAGAGAATTTGAATAAATTCTAAGTATACCATCAGCATCAATTTTCAGCATATAGATAATGGTCCTTTCTCTACGGTTGCCTCCTTGAGTTAGATTTCTTAGACTTTTAGTGGAATTGAGTAAGTAGAGGAGGCCGTCATCATCAAGATTCAGTGTAACATTATTCCCTGCTCCATAAGTGCCTGTTGAGTAGTAAGAATATGAGGCACTATCTGGTGTATTGACAGGGTACTGAACGAGGTTCCCATCATCTTGCATTTTGAGACGGAAAATCCCTAATGAGGTGTATTGACAGGGTACTGAACGAGGTTCCCATCATCTTGCATTTTGAGACGGAAAATCCCGAAAGAATCATCTGCTTCCGAGGCACTCGAGAACAGCTCTTGTCCAGCTGATATATGCTGACCAGGTAAAAGGGTGTTTGTTGGATTGTCAAAACTTTGCCATATGATACTGTGATCAGAATTATAGAGCACAAAGTTGCCAGTATCCAGCATGGAAGCTGAAGCAATGACTTGACCAGAGAGATTTACGACAGTGATTTCTTGTCCTCCTACTTGTACAATGAGCCTTCCATCATTAGTTAAGAGCAAGACAGCGTTGCTCGGAACAACAGGACTGTTCCTATTTGCTGTCCACACTGCTGTCTTCTTAGGCATACCGACAATTAAGATTCCAACAGCATAGCCATTGTTTTGTTCATAAAACCCAAAGGCAAAGCGCCTGGACAGCGAAAACCATGATGAATTGGTAGTAGGTGTTAGAGAAGAGCCAAGAGTTATATTGAACTGCCTTTGTTGTGCTAGTGCTACTGCATGAAATGCAGATAATATTAATAACCATAGCAAAGCAGCCATAGATTTTAGCTTTTCTTCTCTTTTTTTTACTTTGATTTGTCACAAAATTGATACACAATTCAGTTTATAATTACAACTTGGAAGGATCCAAAGACTTGAGCTACTGTAGGACAAGTCAATTCATGGCAATTAGGTAAAAGACGCGTTACATAGGAGACTTGGAAATTATTCAGTCAATTTTGAGAAAATATTGTACACGTCTAAAAGACGGATAAATTATCTTTTTTAATTCATACATAAATAATCAGGGGCGGAGCCCACTTACAGTTAGGGGTTCATTTTCGGCGGAAAATTATATTATTTATACATGGTTAAAATAATTTGTTAGGTATATATAGTAGATGTTGAACCTCCTTCGACTACTTCGTGTGTTTATTTTTTCAGATTTTGAACCGCCTTATTGAAAATTTTGGCTTCGCCACGATATATAATAAGGATGTTTGAGGTAGATAATTCAACCTTCTTCTTGATGTTTATGTTTTTTGCATTATTTAAGCATCCTCATTTGTAATACCATCTTATAGAGTGTATTATAAACTTTGTGATGATCATAGAATACTTTGTTTTCTTTACCTCTTATTTTCGTTAGCCTAGCCCCTTTGCTTGGACTTATTCATAATAAGGATTTTATTTTATTATCATATTATATATTATTAAAAGTTGTAAGTTTCAAAGTGAAAAGTTGGATTACCATTTTGTCTCTCTACTAAATTAAATATCTAATCAAATGCTAATTTTTTATTTACATAGTAGTAGAATTTGAAGTCCTTAAGTCCTTTAATAATTAAATTATTATTTTCTTGATAAATGAGTAAATTAATATTGCTTTTAATCAAGAATTTGAAAAGTTATGATTGATAAAATAATGTAACCGATTTTTTCTTCTAAAATAACTACATTGTCCCTTCTAAACAGACTATTGTTTAATATTGAAGTAAATAATTTGAAGAGTACAAATTTCATCTATAAAGATACATATGTTTTTTTAATATTTCTACCAAGTGTATTCATTCCAACTTGATTCTCTTTGATGATCGATGTACCAATTCTTTCTTGGATAATCGATGTATAGAAGAAATAGCAATTTTCTGTTTAAGATGATATTTATCTACGTGCTTGTGATATAATTTTTTTTTTTAGAGATTTAAGATTTCCAATCTTTATAACAAGTTGGTAGGACCGTAGTGATTGAATAATTGGTAATTTGTGAATGTTTTGTTAATTTTTAAAAATTATTATTCTTACTACAGTTACTTCATAAATCATCTCTTATTTATATATGAAATGAAGATCAATTCATATGTGATTTGTAACTAACTATTCTCAATCCGGAAGTGGAAGAATTGAAAAAAAAGTTGAAGTAAAAAGAAGAAAAGACACGATATTAAATATTACTGATGTATTTTGTATTTTTTTTTTTTTTTATAACTAAAATTTTCTTTCTCTGTGAAATTTTAAAATTTATTATTTTTGGTATTCTGTCCGGAAAAAGAAGTTTTAGCATTTATTAATATTTTTTTAGCAAATTTTATGTAGTATGGAACATGAATTTGAAATTGTTCTTCTTATTTGCTTATAAAGTGATTTTATTATATGACTGAACTAACCATGATACTATAATATATAGATATATTCCATCAAATTCATAATGATTCACTAAACATCATAAGAAGGCATATGTTGTTCAAATCTCTATACTACTTATACATAAAATAAATTTCATTCCCCTACAACTTCTTATACGTAATTATAAAAAGAAACTATAATTTGTTAATGATACATGTTTTATTTGTACAAAGAAACATATATTTAATCACATCATATAATATGTTACTTTTAAAAAGTTATCATCCTTACTATATAATTACTTAATAAACCATCTCCTATTTATATATGAAAAATCAACTCATATGTGATTTGTAACTTAAATATTTTATGTGATTTCTTGAACAAACGTGCTACACACATTCTTAGAGACTAGTTAATAAAAAACACTACATT